GGCACCTGGGTTGGCTCCCAGCACCCACATGGCAGGTCACAACTGTAGCTCCAGTGCCAGGGGATCGGACACCCTTTCCTGGCCTATGAGGGCACCAGGAATGCATGTAGTGGCCATACATACATGTAGGCAAATACTCAAAAAATAAAAATCTTTAACAAGGCAAGAATGGATTCACCGAAAAAAGAGTGTAAAGAAAAGAATCATCTCTAGCAGTGTCTCACTTCAGCTGTATCTAAAGTGCTGCCAAAGTATTACTAGGTGAGACAAAAGCATGCAAGGTAAAGAACATAAAAGTATGTAAGCGTGTTTGAGGACAGTGGGTCGACCCATCGGCCCATGCCACTGGGCTAGGAGGAAATACGATGCTGAGCCTCATAAAACACTTGGAAAGTTTTCAGTGTCTATCCAAATCAACTGCCAAACCAACTACTTCTTATATTTTACAGACTTCCACACATCTCCTGCCCAGACCCCAAGAATTTTTCCTCATCAATGTCTTCTTTCTTCAAACCCCTGCAAAAGCTGTATTTGTTTATTACCTCCCAGTTCAAATGGTTGCCTGAAGTGTGATCCTAATTAGTCTTATCAATAAAAACCCAGAGTCAGATCTTGATGTGAAAGCTGAAGAGATCAGAGAAGCAGAGCAGCAGCTACTAGAGATTCTTACCTCCATGAATCCTCAGGCTGAATGAGGGGGCCGAGATCCTATCTCCACCCACCTCATATTCCTGTCTCCACCTCCTGAGTGCTGGGATTAAAAGTGTGAGTCTCCCAAGTGCTGGGATTAAAGATGTGTAGCACCACCACCTGGCTTCTGTGGTTAACTAGTGGCTAGCTTCACCCTCTGATCTCCAGGCAAGCTTTATTTGTCAGAACACAAACAAAATATCATACAACAGTTGCCCTTTCAAGTACCTACATCCCATGCTTGGGAAGTAGGTTAATTCTAGGTTTTGCTCTTTGCATTTTCCAGGCATCGATTGATTAGCTTTCTGCAATGCATCATATCCTTCGTGACTGCCTTTCCAATGTGTTGGAATTACCTCAACCCCATGTACCTCACCATGCTTAACCTAGTTTTATCTTAAATTTGGGAAATGAGCCACCCGGCTCATTATGGTTTTGAATGAGTAACTTTTTCTTTTTTCTTTTCTGTTTCTTTTGAAACAAGATCCCCAGCTGTCCTAGAACTCCTATATTGGCCAAATTGGTCTCAAACCCACAATCCTCCTGCCTGAGCCTCCTGAGTGCTAGAATTACAGGTGTGCACCACAGCACCTAGCTCAACATTTCTGCTTCTATGGTAGTCCTCTGGAGAGGATGCTATAGCTCCAAGGCTACCTAGGAAGGAGAAGGGAGATGATGTCTCTGCCAGGAATTGAGCACAGGACCTTGTGCAGGTCAAGCATGTGCTTTTTCACTGAACACTGAGCTCTCTCTCATTTCCTTAATTCCACGTGATTTCTTTGGAAGGGACAAAAGGATTTCTGACCCCAAGACAAGCGGGCTATTACTGCTTCAACTCAAGGAAGGGCTGTAGTCAGACTCATCAGACTTGAGCAGAAAGCACCTTTAACCTCTGAGCCATCTCAAAAGGGCTTTAATGATGGAAATTTCAGGCAGCTTTGGCAGACAGATAGCAGAGGTATTTGGAGCTATGATTTTTAGTCTATAAGTACGTCCTGAGTAACTGAACCCAGCTTTATGCTCTAGACAGGTAGTGCTGGAAGGAGACTGTTGTTTTTGCCCCTTTGGGGGGCCTGCCACCCAGCTCCCAAATAATTACAAATGGAGGCTTATTCTTACTTGTAAATGCCTGGCCTTAGCTTGACTTGTTTCTTGCCAGCTTTCTTTAATTTATCACATCTATCCTTTGCCTCTGGGCTTTTCCCTTTCTCTTCTGTAAATCTTACTCTGTTTCTTGCTGTGCAGCTGGGTGGCTGGCCCCTGGAGTCCTCCTCCTCCTCCTCTGGCTAATTCTTCCTCTTTTTTCCTCCTAGATTTCTCCTCTATATATTCTCTATGCTGCCAGCCCTGCTTATTTCTCTCTCTTGCCTTGCTATTGGCTATTCAGTTCTTTATTAGACCATCAGGTATTTTACACAGGCACAGTAACACAGCTTCACAGAGCTAAACAAATGCAACATAAACAAAAGTAGCACACCTTAAAATAATATCCTACTACAGGAAACAAGTGAATCTCCTAAGGGATGTGCTGAATTTTTTTGTTTGTTTTTTGTTGTTGTTTTTCGAGACAGGGTTTCTCTGTGTAGCTTTGGCACCTTTCCTGGAACTCACTCTGTAGACCAGGCTGGCCTCAAACTCAGAGATCTGCCTGCTTCTGCCTCCCCAGTGCTGGGATTAAAGGCTTGCGCCACCACCACCACCACCACCACCGGGCGATGTGCTGAATTTTAAGGCTTCTTGTACACTAAACATGGTACTTTCATCCTCAAAATGTTTAGAAGTTGCATTTGAGATAGAGTAAGACTTAAGTTGGGAGATTGGATATAGGGAGCCCAGAGGTAACAGATTGCAGAAATACACATCCAAAGGCATTTCTGTTATTGTTGTGTTTAGAGACAGGATCCCACATTGTAGTCCAGCCTGTCCTGGAACTCAAAAAAACCCTTCTGTCTCAGCCTCTCAAGTGCTAGGATTAGAGGTATGAGCTACCCCTCCTGGCCTTATAAGACATTTCTTTAAAAGAAAAAAATATATATACGGTGTATGTATATATATGTGTGTGTGTGTGTGTGTGTGTGTGTGTGTGTGTATATGAATATCATAGTGTAGAGACTACCAATAAAGTATTGTTTGTGATACACACACACACACACATACAAATATATATTTATTTATATATGTGCCTGTGTCTGTGGCTGAGAGTGTGGAAGTCAGAGGGTAATTTACAGGAGCAGGTTCTTTCCTTCTACCATGTGGATTACAGGGATCCAACTCATATTGCCAGGCTTGTGCAGCACATGCTTTTACCTACTGAGTCTTCTCAAGAGCCCTAAAAGACATTTCTTGATCACTTTTTATGTATCTGGCTTTGGGTACTAGAGGTAAAGGGGATATATATAGCTGGGCATGGTAGTGTATACTTACAGTCCCAACATTCAGTAAGTGGAAGCAGGAAGATTGCAGGTTCGAGACCAGCTTAGGCTATATAATAAAACCTTGTCTAAAACAAACAAACAAAAACAAGGAAATGCAGGCTAATCAAATAGTAATTGCCAGGCTCCATGGCAGACTCATAATCTTCAGGGAAGTTCTCAGATGGCTCTGAAAACTGGATAAATTGGAAAGACATAATCTGATTCCATTTATGAAAAATATACAGGATAAACAAATCTAGAGGGACAAAAAATAGATTTCTAGTTGTCTAGGCCTAGGTGCGGGGCGGTGGAGATGGGGGGGAGGGTGAGGGGTGACGGGGTGAGGGGGGTGGGGGGGTGGGGGGGGGAATGCAGGAGCCCTGGGAATGATAGCTAAAGGGAGTAACGTTCTTTATGGGTAGGTAAAAATATTCTAAAATTGTATTCCTTGGTATAAAACTCTGAATATATCCAAAGCTATTAGGTTAATAGAGCATTAGATGCTTTATCACAGTACTGGGGGTTGAACCAAGCATCATGCCTGTGTTAGGCAAACACTACCACTGAGCTCCATTCCAAGTTTGCCTGCTTTTTTAACTTTGTTCTGACCCTGGTCCTGCTGAGCTGTTCCGGGGGCTTCCTTGAGCTCACTCTACAGCCCACGCTGTGCTTGGGCCTCAGCCCCCAAGTAGCTGGCGTTAAACGCTTACACCATCAGGCCTGATTTGAATTGTATACTTCGTTGTTTAATTTTAAAAAATTGATGTTTTGTTTTGTTTTGTTTGAGACAGGGTCTCGCTGTGTAACTGGCTATCCTAGAACTCACTGGGTAGAACAGACTGTCCTTGAACTCATAGAAATCTGCCTTCTGGGTTGGGGATTTAGCTAAGTGGTAGAGTGCTTGCCTAGCAAGCGCAAGGCCCTGGGTTCGGTCCTCAGCTATGGAAAACAACAACAAAAATAATAAAAATAAAAATCTGCCTGCTTCTGCCTCCTGAGTGCTAGAATTAAAGGTGTGTGTCACCATACTCAGTTTTTAAAAAAAAAAAGAAAGAAAGAAACCAAAACTTTGTTTTGTGACAGAATTTCAAGTAGTCTAGGTCGGCCTCAACTTTATTATGTAGCTGAGAATGACCTTTAACTCCTGATCCTCCTGCCTTAGCCTCCCAAGTGCTGGGACTACAGGCTTGCACCACCATGTCCAGCAAATTGTACACTTTAAGAGGTTGATCCACATAGTGTGGAGACTGCCAATAAAGTATTGTTTAAAGCCTAGCCTGGCATCCAACAACCTTTTTTTTTTTTTTTTGACCTTTTGAGACAGGGTTTCTCTGTGTAACTGCCTTGGCTGTCCAGGAACTCACCCTGTAGACCAGGCTGGCTCCGAATTCACAGAGATCCTCCTGCCTCAGCCTCCTGAGTGCTGGGATTAAAAGTGTGCGCCGCCACCGCCTGTTTTTTTTTTTGTTTATTTGTTTTTGTTTTTGAAGATTGATTTATGTATATGAGGTTTTGCTTGCATGTGTGTATGTGCCTATAGATGGTTGTGAACTACTGTGTGGATGCTGGGAACTGAACCCAGGTCCTCTGCAAGAACACTCAGTGTTCTTAACTGCTGAGCTGTCTTGTGTCCTCCAGCCACGCCAAGAGCCTTCTAACCTTGGGGGATGCGTGGCCTGAATAGTACACTTCTTTCTGAGGGGATGGTGGGAAAGCAGAGAACAGCTCATGTTCTGGTATCCAGCAAATTGTACCCACATACCAGGTTCAGAAGCGTACAAGGAAGTTACCCCCGCTCTGTGGGGGAGACAAAGAAGCAGTCCTCTTGCCATGTGCCAGCCCATCTGCTTCTTTGCCGTCATAAACATGCTTTTTCTTCTTTTTGGTTCACTACAGCTTTGAATACATGAGAAAGAAGAGTGAGAAACAAGAAGAAAAGATAAGGTTGGAAGAGAGCAAGAGGAAAGAGGGGGATGGAAGGAAACTCCTGCAGCCACCAACACAATAAATTGTATCCTGAACCACCTCAGCTTGGCCCCTTTTTTGCAGCATGCACCTGTCAATTTCCTCTGTGCAGAGTTCTGAAGATGATGAGCAAGACATGGCTGTGACCTGGGTGGTCTTAAATGATGAGACCCATCAGCATGTTATAGGCCTTGGAAGCCCATTTCCACTTTCCCCCTCTAGGCACACTTTCCTTGCCCTGATAGCTGTGACTCTTGATAACATTACCCATCTTCCCCCAACCCAGGGCAGCAGGCTCCCAACTGTCCTGAATCTGAGCCTGAAGAACAATGTCTCCCCAGCCTGCAGGAGGCAGGGTAGGAAATAAGAGTTCTGAGGCAGCTGTGCCCTGTGTACGCCTCCCACCATCTGACAGACCAAGACCTGCTGTTGGGCTAAGAGACCCGCCAGCCTGACCTCAGGTTGTGAATTGAGAGGTCAAGTGGTTGTCCTGTGGTTGATCCATGCTGCTTCGAGCCCAGAAGACTTGAGGGGCAAAACCTGAGGGGCCTTCCCAGCCTTGACAGTTTTCACTTAGCTGTGCTCCCTGTGCTCCGACCCTAGTTCCTATCCATCCTGTCCTCACCTTGTCTCAGCTAGGACAGAAGCCTAGGACCCTCCTTGTAGAAGACAGAGGGGTCTTGTTCCTTCTGTTTTGGAGAACAGGGATATTCAGTGACGGTCAGAATTGACCTCTGACTGCAATAATGACATGTTCCCATCCTGTGTTTCTTGCCAGGCACTGTCCTATGGTTTGTGCTATGAGGTGGTGGTCACTGTCTTCACCTTCCTAAGCCCTGCTCAGCCAAGGTTTGACTGCACTTTTCCCCACCACTCTGAACAGTCCTGCCCTACCAGTGGGCCTTTTCTGTGGCTTCAGGCCTGCAGGAATTTTGCTGGTGGTTCTGGGACTTGCCTCCAAACTATGACCAGCTATAGGCAGTGGTGTGGTCTGTCACCTGATAGTTTTGTCTACTCCATTTTACCCCAGCTGACCAACCAAAAAGCTGAACTGCTCCATCCTGCCCGGCTATGCCAGTGTGTGAGGGCTGTCTGCCCGCCCTCCCCCTGCCCCCACCAGACTATAGTGAACTGCCAGCATCCACTCACAGGTGTTTCCTGTTGCCGTTTCTTTTGTTCAGCCTGACCTCCCCAGCAGGTGGTGATGGCCCAGCCAAAAACCTCTTCATAGGCAGTTCTAAAACACTGGGGTAAAGCTCCCCAGGGATCTGGGTCACCCCCACCACATCTAGGCAACTGTTGACACCTAATTGGCTCTTCTTGAGTGCTCCCCATCTCCCCATGATAGCTTTGTGCACACAGTGTCTGTCACACTAGTGTGCTATATCACCACAGGTATTGGGATAGCAGAGCGGGTTCAAGCTGGGAAGACCTTATTCATGTCCAGTCTCTCCAGACAATGGAAATTCTGATAGGAGGATGGAGGGTTCATTTCTCTAGCCATGGGTGTGGAAATCTCTCAGGACCTTCTTAGAAAAGGCCTGCCATCCCGAAATCCCACCCCACCCTCCAGTCCCTCCCAAAGGTCTCCTAACTTAGGTTAACAAACTCCTGTGTTGGAGGCAGGGAAGCCCTCTCTGGGGAGTCCTACTTCCTCAACACAGGTCTGCTGGCTGTTGGGGGCCACAGAGTTCACAGGTTTGTTATTGCAGGGAAGGAGGTGCCTCAGGGAGGGAAGGACCTTGCTGTCTTGGTTCACCGGACAGCCATCCGGGTCTCCTGTCTCCCAGGCTCCAGCTCCCCCCCTAAGCAAGGATTCCCACCTCCCCACACAAGTTGCTTCTTGAGCTCCTCTGTAGGAAGCTGCCTAGTCAGAGGGGCACAGACAGAAGCCTACCACCTACGGATGCAGTTCTGCTGCCCCCTGGTGGCGACAGCTCAGGCACTCCGTGCCAGCTTCTTTTGCTTTCTCTTTGCCCACTAGCCACAGCCAGTCTGGAATAAGCACAGTCCGGGCCTTCTCTGGGCCAGCCGCTGAGATCCACTCGGGCTGGAGTTCCCAGGCCCTGCTGCAGGCTCAGCCTGTCCAGTAGTGCTCTTTTCACTTCTGTGTCTCTTCTCCAGGCACAGCCCTGGACTCTGGGCTTTCCTCCACCAGGATTTCCAGGGCAAATGCCCACGATGTTGTCACAGCTGGAGTGTGGGCACAACAGTGCCAGGAAGAGCACACCAGGAGGTGTTGGAGCAGAGGCTCAGGAGTGCAGCAAGCCATGTAGGAAACGCATTTTGCTTTTTTATTTTCTGTAAAACTCTGTAAATAAAATACAAAACCAAGGGATGTGGTGAGGCAGAGTAAGATATGGCCAGGCCCCTGACACTATTTGTGGCCAAGGATATGCAGAACCAAGGCTGGGAGGCACTTCATTTCAGGCACTCTACCAACCCCAGGGGTAACAGAAGAATATATTAGATTTTCATTGATAGGAATTTGTGGAGAGAGGTGTCTGGAACCAGCCCTCACCCTCCCTGCCAGTGCCTGGTGAGCCCTGAAAATGGGGGAAGGAACACTGGGAGCCGGTGACTGGAGAGTTCAGAACGCTGTGCTGGCCATGCTGCTGGGCCCAAAGATTCGAGGCAGAGCATCCAGGGACTCCTCCAGCCGTCGATGAGCAGACTGTCCTTCTTCCCCTGTAATGTGTGAGGGTAAGGTCAAGAGTGGCCCTGGCATCTTCCAGGCCTTCTCACACCTGGCATTACCCCACCCTACCCCGAGTAGCCAAGGTGTTCCCCTTAACTCACGTCTCCCACTTCCCAGCCTTACCACACTGCTGGAGGCTCTGCCGGGCAGCTTCCCTCACAGCTTCTGTGTCTGTTTGGCACAAGTACACCAGGGGCTCAATGCCCTCAGGAGCCTATCAGGGGACAAAACATGGAGGCAGGTTCAGTGTCACAAGCAGGAACAGGCCTGCAGTGGAAGCGGCGGGTAGGTAGGTTGGCAGGGATCACCTTGATACAGCCCAAAGCCAGGCATCCAGCCACTCGGGTCTGCACATCCTCATCCTCAAGTTGGTCCAGGAAGCACAAAAGAGCCTGGGCAAGGTGAGAGGGCAGAGTTAGACACTGGGAGCCCTTGGCCCTCACCTTATCCACCAGAGAATCCTGCCAAACTCACCCTCTCCCGGAAGACAGGACCAAGCGAGAGGCTCCGAAGCTGGGTGCTGACAGCAGCCATGACTTTGTTGTTGCCATGGACCAGCAGGGAGCTCAGAGCCCGGAGCCCATCCCTTCGCAGACGCCCTTCAGGTGCTAGCCTCAGGGCTTTCAGCACAACCGCCTGGTCATCAGAGTTCAAATTCTGTACCAGTAACACTGGAAGAAGTGGGGGGAGGGGCACAACAAGTTGGCAAAGCTCGTGGGGTGAGAGGCTTCGCCCTCATCTCATCATCCACGCCCTCAGGACCACCCACAGGGTCAGCATTCTGTGGCCGGGGCCTCTGCCTCACCCTCCTCTGCAGTCTCTGTCACATAGGCATCCATGGAGGGGCTGTCCAAGGCTTCTACATAACTCCAGAACTGGAAGATGGTGAACTGCTCCCCGGGGCCAGGTTGGGGCCTCCTAGGCAGCTTCCGTCCCAGGGCGTCTTCCAGGAACTTGACACACACTGCAGGAGACAGTACCACAGCCTGAGTTGAGACAGACCCAGTCCTCTAAGGGGGAAGAGAATGTCCCTGTTCTAGCTCAGGCCCAGGGACTCCTTGTCCACACTCTGCTCTGAGAACAAGCACTCACTAGTTCTCTTCAGTGCTCAACTTGCCAGTCAGTATGGGATGACAAGGCCTTCCCCAAGGGAGCTAAGGAAGGAAGGAAGGGGTAGGTAGGCAGCCCACTCACCAGCCTCGGCTAAGCCTGGCTGGCGCAGGGAAAGACGGGCACCGTACTGGCCGCAGAAAGTCAGGAGCACCTGCTCCACCGGGCAGATGAAGGGGCTGAGTCCCTCTGTGCACTGGTCCCAAAAGGTCAGGAAGCCGGACCGAGAGGCAGAGAACTGCACCACTGTGAGGAGTGAGGAAGACCATCAGCAACGGGGCAGGTCAGGCAGGAGGGGCAGGCACGTAAACGGGAGCAGGTGAGGCATGAACTCCACTGGACATCACAGCCCAAGCCCAGGAGACCTTTACCTTCCTGGGCAGAAGTGGCAGACTTCCCCCACAGCTTGCTGCGCTCACACACTTCCTCAAGCACACGTGCTTCCCTCAGCAGCCGCTCTAGGGCCCATGCCTCCTGGCAGCGTAGGGGCCCAAATGTGCCCAGTTTCTAGAGGACAGGGGTTGCCAAGTAATTTAGACCTCATGGTAAGGGTTGCGGGGGATGGGTCAGGGGAGTACAGGTCCCAGCATGCACTGGGAGAGGCTGAAATAGGAAGGGTATAGGAGGTAGTATATTCAGGAGAAGCCAAATGCTAGGACCCTGGGGCATTGGTGTGTGGAACTGAGAGGTTTAGAGGGGAGGTTTGGAGTGCAGGGCTCCCTGGGGCAACGGGGGTGGGGGGTGGGGGGTGGTATTATCCCCTCACCAGTAGGAGGCGGCTGCAGTGATACAGGTGCTGGACCAAGGTAGCATCCAGGGCTGGACACCCTGTGCTTAGGGACTGGGCATTTGATGAGTCTAATCTGTCCTCTGCCACAGCCTCTGGGCTGCTTGTGGGCCTGAGAAAAAAATGGAATCAAACACCCCAACAACACACATCACCTCTGGTCACCAGAGATTGTTTTTATTAAGCTCCTCCCACCCAGAATGGAAGAACAACGTGCAGACACAGACAGTAGGTAAGTTCACACAGGACTTCCAGGAGGATGAGGCTGTAACCAGCAATGAGTAGCATGGGTCTTTATAGTCAACCTTTTGCAACCCTTGCTAAGACCAAAGGGGCTGCCGGCCCGAGATGGGCGCCAGTAGGACTGCAGGCGGGATGGTCTGTAAAATGCGGACGGCAAGGGACGCAGGGCTTGGGACTGGAACCTAGGAAGTCGTAAAGGAAGGAGGGACCGGGTGTGACTCTCAAA